TTTGGGCCATGTGCACATAGCTCCTCCTCCGTCAGGAGCTAGAATTTTCCCTACAGCAGAATTACCTAAGCATTCATGTGGAACTGCTGATGGATAAAATCTTCCCTGTCAGTAGCTGTATTTCTCCCTCCTCATAGATCCATCCATATCAGGCCCTGCTGATCTCAAACCCCGGGTTTGTGGGGTTCCTGAGAGTCACCATACTCCAATCTTCCGCCCAGCAGCTCAGAGACAGCAGCTGGGAGCCAGGTCCATGAAGCCCAACTGAGGTACAAGCCTCACCTCTAGTCTCTGACTGGGGGAGCTCCAAGGCTCCTGATTGGGTCACAGTCCTATTTATGCCAAAACACTAAGTTGTGCATACAACTGGACTTCATCCTGCTGTGGACCGCTGGGCTGGTGTTTACTGGTTCCTGCCCTCAGATCCTGACCTCCTGGTATCCTGACTCTTAGTAACTGTCTCCAGGTGCCTGCCCTCTGGTTCTGTCACCCTAACCTGACCTCCTAATATCCTCAATTGGCCTGATTCATGGTAACTGATCCTTGATCTCTGCCCTTCAGGTTTGATTCTCACCTTCTAGCATTCCAGCCCGGCCTGATTCCTGGCAATTAGCTCTTGGCCCCTTACCCTTCAGCCCGTGCCTGATGCTAACCCCTAGGCCAGGCCACCCATGCCCTGGCCCTGATGGTCCACCTCTTGCTCAGCTTCTCTCCCGCCCTCAATTTTTTTAAAACAAACAAATAATACACACACAAAAATTGGTTGGCTGTGAAGCACTTAGAGTTCCTATACACATAATGTATCTGACACAAAAGCAAGGACATGAAAAGTTATGCTACCTTGACAGTAATAATTTCTACCCCTTCAATTACAAGCACACATTTACTACAACTACTATGCAGCACAGGTACACATTGCATCCTTAACTCTGGCCCCCCAAAGGAATGCCATTCTTCCATCACCCCCTTTAACTGCCCTTCTGCACACATCCCTTTACAAAACAACCCTCTCCTTCCACAACCAGCTGCTGCACCAAACATCTCCAACTACTAGTTTTTTTGCGGGGGCAGGAAATAATCTGGCAAAGGAGTGTGTACAGAAGAGCAGGCTGAGGGGGGAGCCTGGAGGTTGTGGTACTTGGAGCATGGTGAGCAGCAGTTGCAGAATTGATAGTGTGGAGGAAATGAGATGAAAGTGTGTACAGTTAGGTGGTTTTACTTCGCATTTACTTGTTTTTGTGGGTTTCTGTCAAGTAGAATGAGTGTGGCAACCTTAGCTGCTTCTGAATTAAAGTTTTTGTATATTGAGGTGGTTTCTGAGACACAAGTTAATGGTCAGAGGAAGATACTGACAGCAAAAACTCTAGCACTTGTACTGTCACTTAACTGTGATAAACTAGGGTAAGAGAGATTTGTGTACATAACTTATGAGGAGAGGCTGAGGGAGCTGGGGTTGTTTAGCAGGCAGAAGAGAAGAATGAGGGGGGATTTGATAGCTGCTTTCAACTACCTGAAAGGGGGTTCCAAAGAGGATGGCTCTAGACTGTTCTCAATGGTAGCAGATGACAGAACGAGGAGTAATGGTCTCAAGTTGCAGTGGGGGAGGTTTAGATTGGATATTAGGAAAAACTTTTTCACTAAGAGGGTGGTGAAACACTGGAATGCGTTACCTAGGGAGGTGGTAGAATCTCCTTCCTTAGAGGTTTTTAAGGTCAGGCTTGACAAAGCCCTGGCTGGGATGATTTAACTGGGAATTGGTCCTGCTTCGAGCAGGGGGTTGGACTAGATGACCTTCTGGAGTCCCTTCCAACCCCGATATTCTATGATATTTCAGTAGCTTTTAGGAGATCCTGTCATGGACCAGGACCCCATTGTGGTGGGCGCTGTACAAACTCAGAACACAGACTGTCCCTGTCCCAAGGATCTTAAAATCTAAGAAGATATGAGACAACAGATCGGTGCAGGCAAACTGGGTAGCACAAGACAATACTGGTCAGCATGATCGGCAATGGTCTTGCTATATCAGCTGTCTACCCATTGGGTTTTTTTGGGGGTGGGAGGTTGGTAGGCATCACAGCAAAGGGGAGTTTTAAGTAAAACAATAAGTTCTGTGGATGTTTACAGGGAACTCTTCCCATGCAAGAGGAGAAACATGGGAGAAACCAGGAAGGTGCCTATCTGAAAATTTTAACAAGAGGACAATGAAAGCTGGTGTCAGTTGGTATTTGCCAAAGGGAGGCTGGAACTGACATATTAATAGCATATGATAGATGATGGGGGAAGGGGCTGACAAGTGAAGATGAGTAGTTGCTAAAATCACACACTGTAATTTGGTTATATTTATCTAAACAACTACTTTCTCCCCTCCAAAGTTTCAGGATGGGTGTGCCTTGATCAGCTCTCACACAGAAAATGATTGCAAGTTCATTGAGTTGTGAATATGGGAGCCTCTCATATTAAAGTTAGCTTGGACTTGTTCTCCAATTTAACTGCTTCTAGTCCCTTGCAGTCCAGTCACCTGGTTTTGACCTTCCACACCATCTGTGGGCAAAGCTCAATTGCTTCAGATGTAGTGACCAGTTATGCTGCAAATGACAATAAGTGGGGCCTTTGTTGACTCTTTCCTTTGTGGTCATTTAGAAGATGTAGATCAGTAGCTTTCAACGCGTGGTCCATGGACACCTGGGGGTCCGCAGACCATGTCTAAGATTTCCAAAGGGGATTTCCAAACTTCACATGGCTTTCCAATACATCCTTAAAGTTATATTGCTAGCATTTTCAAAACTCACTTTACCCATTTTCATGAGCTAAACATAAATGCAAAATTAAAGTAAAACAGAATAAATAAAGGGACAGATAGTTGTAGTCAGTTGTTAGCTGCATATGTGTGTTCTTCCTGTTTGCTGTGCTGGCTCTGTCCAGATAGCAAACCTAGCTGACCTCAGTTGAACTGCCCCAAAAGACCACAGTCTCAGTTCTGTAGCGAAAGCACTCAGACAGGTTTATTGCCGACGAAGCACAGTACTAGCTCCTTGGATCAATGTCTAACATTACACTAACACATGTATGCCCATGACAATGGACTCAGCTCAGAGAATGACAGGACTTTCCATTTTCCCCCTCGGCTGGACAAAGACCCCTCTTTTATACACTGATACAAACATGTTACATATTGCCCCTCCACCATGGTTAATTACCACCCTTTACCTTGTACTAGTGGGTTCAATCAAAACGTCTCTATCCATCACCCTGTCATCCTGACCTTTTCTTTAAGAGGGGTCAGTGTGTCCTTGTAGAGTGCGTTTGGTGAGTGTGTTTACACCATAAACCTGTATCGGGGTGTTCTGGCACTACCCTTCTGGAATGTATTTACAGGAATACTTAGTGCGTAGGAGTTCTTGTGTTTTTGCAACGCCAGCCCTGTTCTTGCCAAGTTCATGTATTGGATAGTGAACCTGCAAGCAAGCATCTGCTTTGTAACTGGGCAGGGCCTGAGTTGGCCTGACTCTTGCTAACTGTGCTTTGTATTAGCAGGGCTTGGCTCTGTTTGGGCCTTAGGCCTTACACTAGGCCTTTTATACCAGGCCCCACGGCTCAGGCTCTCTCTTTCTGCAACAATAGTCACCTTTTACATTACTTTCCAATACTGAAAGGGTCTAAGGACCACTAAGCAAACTATAGTTCAGCATAACAGAGAAACCATGCTTGGAAACGTTTGAGCAATTTGTATGTATTCACTGTGGAGCAGTCACAGGCTCAGCTTTCAGCTCACAGCCCTCCCACTGCTTATCTTCTTTGCTTTCATAGTTGAGTGATGTCTCCTAGCTACATATTGGCATGCAGTAACAAACACGTAGCAAAACCACTTCAATACAATCTCTTAGAGAACTTCTCATGCAATTTGCAACATACTCGTATACTTTGCACTATGGATATCATTTATTTGTTGTGTTTATACAGCAACACCTGCTGAAAAGAGTAGCACATCACTGGAGTGGGCAGAAGGGTTGCAATAATTAAATGGAAAACTTGCACCCAGTGTGCTCTTACAGGCACACTACTCTTTTCTCCTGACTGTAGTGTATTGTACCAATCTGTATTCAGACATACTTTTGATATGGAATGAAATATGTACTATGAGTCAATTCTAAGAGCAAACAGTGGTATAACTTGGTTAAAATTCTTTTAAAAGGTTATATAAAGGAACAAGGAAATCTAGTTTCTCTTGAAACTGAGATGCTTTCACAATGCAGCCAAAAGAGCTGGCAACTTTCCACAGGCGTACACGAAGTAATTAAACATTTCCTCTTCCTCGTTGATGTTTACATTCTTCAAATAACTGCAGGTAATTACGTTGCTTAAAAATATCACACACTATTATCATCAGTGGGAGTTACCCAGGCTTACGTCAGGACTGAATTTAGTCCAGGATTCTATCATTGGGCATAATTCCAAAAATTGTGACAGTTTGTTTATATTTAGAATAAAAAGGTAAAACTGTAGGAGTCATGCAGAATCTTCTTCAATCAATAGGTTTTAAATATTTTGTCTCCCTACAAGTTGCTGTAAAATAGAAATATATACATGCATCTATGTATAAATAATACATATGATTATGTATGCAGTATGTGAGTTATTTAGTTTTCCTTTTCTTTAGTGCTCTGCTATTTCTCTTCCATATTATAAATTTAACAGATGGTACAGCTACAAACAATAACCTTTTCTCACACTAACATTGGTCACCACAAATATACGACGAACAAGGAAAAGTTAAGTTACCAATGCAATTGTTGTTCACAGCAGGGTTCCAATTATAACAGGTATTAGTTACACAAATTGGATAACTTATTTTTGCCATGATTTTGCAAAAAACTACTTATGGCACACATATACAAAAAGGTGCCATTTTCCATCTCTTCAGCTTGTCTATTGGCACACCACAGGAGGGGGCTCAGTATAGCTGACTGAAGGAGGGCATTAGTTAAGTATGTGGCAACAAGAGGCAGAAGGGCAGCATGGGAAACACTGCTTGGAGAAAGCAGGCACAGGCTTGCAGGAGATGGTGGTTGATTTCTCGTGCTCCTAAGGAACACAGGCAGGCACCTTCACCAGCTATGCAGTTCCTAAATTGTTATAGAGTGGCATTCCATTCAGATGGGATTTAAGAGCCTGTAGGGTACCTTCCTCTTCCTGCATGCCTTCCCACCCCTCCTCTAAGAGGAATGTATAGCACACAGGCAAAGTAGGTTGTGTCTCCCTTTAATGGCTGGTCTGCTAGATGACAAAAGCTTACTATTTCTACAGTCTTAAGTTGCTCTTTTAGCTCAAATGACAGAAGTCTGTGTTGCAGTGCTTAAGGTCCTGTTTTCAAATGTGTCTGACGACCTATACAGTGACCTGAGGAAGAGCTCTCTGTAGCTCAAAACCTTGTCTCTTTCACTAGCAGAAGTTGGTCCAATAAAAGATATTACCTCACTCACCTTGTCTTTCTAATACCCATATAGAAGTCCATTATGGGTGCTTAAGTCTCTCTTGCTGCCACCTGTCCCCATTCCCCAATCTATGAGCCAGACCATTATCAAATGATTTCTTAATCAATGGCATTGTTGCAGAATTTAAATCTGCCACATAGAATCATAGAATATCAGGGTTGGAAGGGACCTCAGGAGGTCATCTAGTCTAACCCCCTGCTCAAAGCAGGCCCAATCCCCAACTAAAGCAGAAGCGTCTGTTGTGCAGTTTAGACCTATGTGCCATGTACTAGAAGGAACCTCGCTTATTCCTCTCCAGCATAGACTTGATCATCATGAACCTGGTCTCGATTTGAACTACCAACCTTGAGGCAAAAAGGTTAAGAGCCTATCACCAGTCCCCTGAACTATCCATTTCCCCAAAAACACTAAAAATGTGATGAACCCTGAAAACGAAAACAGACTAAACCGCACGGATTCCTCAATATTTACAGTGCTGCTGATTGATGTAACTAGCTAAGACTGTAAAAGACTGAGAATTACCACATGAGGGACTTCATACGATCTCTGCAATGAGAATACATATGTATGGAAAGTCTGATTATCCAGTCTCGGCTATATCTGTGAGGGTCTGGAGTAACTCAGCAAAAGCAGGGCGACCTGCAGGTTTCTGAAAAACAAAGCAGAGGGCACCTCTGTAGTACAGGCTGATCTAACATAAGAATAGACTTTTAGAAGCAGACTACCCAGAACACTGTTACACATGTACATTTGCAGAAAGAAAAGTTGTATGTTTGTCATTTTAAGAAAAATCCTGGCTTCATCATGTCAGTATGTTAGCTGATGGGGGTGCTTTCTGAACAACAGCATCATGAGCATAAACACCTTTAAATGTAAATCTAAGGGCAAGTCTACACTCAAGTCCTACATCAGCGCTACTACACTGTGAGAGGTGGAAGCTATGTTGGCGGGAGAATGTCTCCCACCAACATAGCATCAGTGTGGACAGTGCTTAGGTCAATGTAACTTATGTCACTCCGGGGGGGTGTATTTTTCACACCCCTGAGCGACTTGACTTAAGCACTAGAGTAGACCAGCCCTAATGCCTGTTTAGGTGATATTCATTTCAGCCCTGCATTGGGGGTTGTCTATAGACACACCATTCCAATAGGGCTCTGAGAAGCAGTGTGCCTCGGAATCACTGTGTCTACCAGCGCTCTCTGGAATACTGTGCTCCCACACTCAGAGCTACACCATTGCAAGGGATGCAGTGTATGTTTCCCAGCACAGTCAGCCAGCAAGCTCCAATGGCTGATATAGGGAAGGTAAGGATGGCATGTGGCTAGCATCCCAGGAGGCATCCTAGAAGAGAGCAAACTATGCATTTTCTGTCTAAATCCCTTAAGATATAGTAGCTTTAACTTAGAAGTACTGTAGCTATCAAACACCTAGAGCAGATATTTTATAAGCTGTTAGATACACATTAGAGAGGAGATGTGGGAAGGAAGGACAGAGTTATAGCAATAAGATCACACTGTTACTCACTTTAGGCATATGCCTATTTAGATGGAACAGTAAAAAGTACACCTGCAAAAGATTTTATATATTTAAAATGATAGACTTCTGTGGGCACCATGGGGGAAGTGGGTCTTACAGAGGGATTCAAATTACGAGAGGTTAGTGGCTTAGTGGGCCATATTAGGAGGGAATTCCACATAAAGAAGCAAGTCTAGAAAAAGGCACAGACAATTGTGGGAGAAGCAGATAAACATAGCCTCAAATCAGGAAACATTAGCAGAATAGAAGGGATGGAATAAGAGAGTAGAGCCAGGTTCTTTGCTTCCCTGTACCTTGTATGGTCATTAACAACTGTGCAAAGTGGATGTAAAACACTACTAAATCAGAATGGTAGTTGTCTGTGCACACTTTGCACGTTTTGTACTCACATAAATGACTGTACAATGCACTGGACAACAGAGAACCATGCCCCAGGTTCAACATATAAGCAGAGAAATAGTTATATAAAGCCTTGATGCTATGGAATAGGGAGAAGGGGATGAAGAAGGGAAAGATCATGGAGGGATTCAGACAGAGGGTCAGCAATCAGATTGACTGGTGAATGATGTGATGCAAGTCATTATTTATATTTATTGGTTTTAATGGTTAAAAGAAACAGAAGCTTCTAATCTTAGCCGGGATATATGAAAAACACATTAAAGATTCTGAGGCTATCACAAATGTAAAGTAGGTATTTAATTTCCCTGCTTTCAATGATTGTCTTTAACTCCACATTTAGAATGAGGATCCTGGCGATGGAATATCAATATACAGAACAGGAAAATAAGAGAAACACACCTCATGCCAGCAGCTGTACATGATTTTGTACACAGTGAGCGATGCCAGATATGGTTGATAAAGTCTGTAACCTTCGGAAATCTCATGGACAACTTCAGAATTTGACTTATTTTCAAAAGGCATTTTGCCCTCTGTAAAAACTTCCCACATTAAAACTCCTAGGAATAATCCAGAAAATGTAATGTTCACAAAACTATTCCATAATATTAAGAATCATGAACACTAGAGATTTTGTGTCCTGGATAATACAGGAGACAACTGTACATCTGAACTGTATTGAGAGAGAGGACCAGGTCGATCCTCAGATGATGTAAATAAGAATAGCTACATTGCCTTAAATGTAGCGGCACCAATTTATAGCAGCTGTGGCACGGTCCCAGTGACATGTTGATAAATTGGAGAGGGTTCAGCACAAGAATGACTAAAGAATTAGAAAGCAGGACTTATAGTGATAGACTCAAAAAGCTCCATAGTGATAGACTCAAAAAGCTCCATCTATTTAGTTTAACAAAGAGAAGGTTAAGAGGAGACTTGATTACAGTCTATAAGATCTACCTGGGTAACAAATATTTAATAACGGGCTCTTCAGTCTAGCAGAGAAAGGTATAACATGATCTAATGGCTGGACGTTGAAACTAGAGAAAAACGGGAAATAAAGCATACATTTTAAAAAGTGAAAGTAATTAATAATTGGAACCATTTACCAAGGGTTATGGTGGATTATTCATCACTGACAATTTTTAAATCAAGATTGGATGTTTTTCTAAAAAATATGCTCTACGAATTATTTTGGGAAAGATCTATGGCCTGAGTTACACAGGAGTTCAGACTAGATGATCATAATGGCCCCTTCTGGCCTGGGAATCTATGGATTTATGAGATGAATGTGGATTTTGATAAGTGGAGACTTCTGACTGTAAAAAATGCACATTGCAGTCATAAGCTAAATTTAAGTAACAAGAGGTTAAGATAAAGCATTGTGGTCTGGTAGACAATAACAACAGAACTGTAGAACCATGGATCCTGTATAAAGGAGTGGAAACATCAAATTTCAGCTCATGGAATTTCTTGGGAATCCTTCCATTGGGAGTCCTCAGTTTCCAACTCGTGGAAAAGGCTGGTTAGTCCATCCTCTCAGTTTTTGGATCATGGCCTCCTGCCTCCCTATCCCAACCAAGAAGCACTGCTTTATTCAAAATGGACAGACTCTTGCAATTTAGACAAGATTGATAGTATGAAACGGACTCATTAAAACTCATGATAGTTGTAACTGTGCAACAAATAATTTACTATAAAAGTTATGTGTTCCAGTTTTTATGAGCAAAGTGATGTGTGGCAAATTAGTTTAAACTGACCCACTCACCAAATGACCAGACATCAGACTTGCTGCTGTACTTGTTGAAATGAAAAACTTCAGGAGATGACCATTTGACTGGAAATTTGGTACCTGAAGAGCTGATATATTCATCATCTAGAACATATCTAAAGAAACCAGGTAACAAATATATTTAATCTAAAGTATTGGGTAATGTTTTAGGTGACACATCCTTAGATTTATGATTATGTAAAAAACACTTTCAGAAATATTGTGTCCATATGGAAATACCTGTTTCTTCCAAGAATTCCAGAGTGGATTAAAGACACAGATTATGCACGACCAATAATCACAAAGATGTTCTGGAAATTTTTTTTAGATATTGCACTTCCCGGATCTCATTGATACCAGGTGCCATACCAGTGAGACACATAGTATGATTCTCCTTACACTTTATATATTGTAATTGTTATTACAATATATAAAAATATTATAACTGTTTTATTATAATAACTCCATTGTTTTTAATGGAGTTACATGTCATTTATACTTGTGTAAATGAATGAAGAATCAGGTTCGTAATCTGTGATTTCCTGGTGTCAGAACTCTGGATTAATTCAAATAAGATTCACTGTTAGCCATCTGTGCTTAATTTTTCTGTGAGCAGAATTGTGCATGTTTACCGCCACAGCTAACTAAGCTTACAGATACCACAGAGATAAGTACGATGTAAATTCCCAGATAGATTAGTTAGAACTACAGTAGCACTTTTTTGGTCATTGACTAGAAATAAAATGGTGAAAATCCCTTAGAAAATAATGTATACCAAATCATATCATACATGATATACACATAAATCATGTGAGTAAAAAGCTTTATATTAAATGTGTGAATTGAATTGCACATGGACACATGTCCAAATAAGTGCCAATACAGCCTATGAGATTCACCAGGAAAGGTGTAATTCAATCCCCCTGATTATGCAATACTAGAAGTAGTCCCTGTACTCTTGGCAAGCAAGTCAATAATAAATTAATTATTCTGTCTCTTTTTAAATAGACTTTGTTGTACCTAACAATGGGTGGCAGGAGACCATGACATAAACAACTTGTTAGTGAAATCCTCTACCTAGTTTCATGGCTAGCTGTAAGGTATGTGAGTCCTGTATATTATTGCAGATGCGGTTTGGGGGGGGGCCCGAGCAAAATCTGAAACTCAGGCCTGCCACCCTTCCAGAAAATGATCTTGGCGATGAAAGAGTTTAAGAAGAATACCCACAAATCATTAAACCAAGTATGCAAAAACACTGAGAGGAGGCCCCAGGGCGGTGGGGTTGGAAAGCGAGCCTGCCCCACATTCACCCTGCAGCAGTGGCTTCTGTCCCATGGGGCTGGGCCCAGCTCCCCACTCTGGTCATTGCAACCTGGCACAGGGCATCACAGCTCCGCTTAGCTTTGGACTGGCCACCCCTCCATCATAACAAAGGTGTGGCCAGGTTGCAATGCCACTAGTTTTGGGACCCCCTCAAATATGGGGCCCAGAGCAAATTGCCCCTTTTGCTCCTCATTACCTGCCCTCCCCCCACCCCACAGACAGCCCTGCAAATGAGGCTTGAATGGGAACCTTTATGGTGTGCATGCAACAGCCCTGCCAGGTGTGCTGGAAGGGTGACTCCCTGTAGACAAGCCCATAGGAGCTGTGCTAAGATTGTCTTAGCTAGAAGCTTTTAGTATCTGACACTTATGATAAAACCAAATTTTAAAAGGGTCCTCAACCCAGCTTTTGTGTGTGCACAAATTTGTGTGTGAACACCATTGCATTAACTTTTCCAACACTAAACTGCATGAGCAGCTGAAAGATTATAATACCTGTGAGCAAAATATTAACGCTTGAAGAATGCACGTGCACGGATCTATGTATGCACAAACAGAGGTAACTTTTAGAAAATGTGCTCCTTAGTGTGTGCACCAAAGTACAAGGGAATCAAAGAGATGAGAGGTAATTCCATTGGCAGTATCTACATGCAAAATAACTGGTACTGGCAGTTTTGTAAACTAGGAGGTTAATTCAAGGCCTCATTATTGCTAGTTGAAAATATTTCCAATGTAGTTAAGATTCAACACTGTTGTTATACACAATTGCTGCATACCTTGTCATTCCAAAGTCAGATATTTTAACTATATTCTTGGCATTGACTAAACAGTTCCTTGCAGCCTGCAGGAAAATGAGAAAAACATATCTGAAATCTAACTAAAGCATCCTGATAAAAATGCAACTGCTCGCTAGTACTTTACTCATACAGTTTGCCTTGTTATTTTAGCCATGTTGGTCCCAGGATATCAGAGAGACTAAATTTTGTGTTGAATACCCCCCACAACACGCCTTTCAATATCCATGGGTCCCACACATGCCTATCACATGTGGTATCTCTCATCCAGTGCACTAAATGCCCCAATAACAACTATGTGGGTGAAACCAGACAATCACTATGCTCTCAAACAAACTCACACAGAAAAATTATCAAAGACAAAAACTTCATATCACCTGTGGGTGAACACTTTTCACAAAATGATCACTCCATATCTGACCTCTTTAGTCCACGTCCTTAAAGGAAACCTGCACAACACCTTCAAAAGATGAGCCTGGGAGCATAAATTCATAACTTTGCTAGATATTAAAAATCATGGTCTTAATACAGACACTGGATTTATGGCTTATTACAGCAACCTGTAACTCACTAATCCCACATTTTTGTCCTATGATTGTAAAGGTGTTAAGGGACCACTTCACTATGAATGGTCTCTTACAATACATGTTAACCATTTTTGCTAAATAATCTGTTCTATCTTGTATTTAGCTGTGATACTTAGAGTACCTTTCCAAGACCTGAAGAAGAGCTCTGTATACTCAAAATCTTGTCTCTTTTCACCAACAGAAGTTGGTCCAATTAAAAATAGTACATCGCCTCCTTATCGTTCTTATTCATACAGTGTTTATCTGCTTAAATGGTCCTCTAGATGTCTCACATCAAACATAGCCCAAACTAAAGCAAAGCTAAAACTGAGCCAAAATAGTTTTGGCAGGATGTTCTGATGTTGCACTAAGATGTCTTCTGTTATAGCACAAGATCAGTTGATGATAAGGAGGTGTTAAGACAACACAATATTTGGACATCACTTTCAGATAACATGGTTACTTTCTCTGACTCCATTCAGTCACTAAATGTTCTCTAACTCTTCATGCATGAATATCTTTTGTTTAAAGGGAGTTGTAATACAGTAAATAATGTGTAAATTTTCAACAGCAGCAATTGCCTACAGAACTTAAGAACATTTATAGTAAACAGTTCAAATACATTAATTTATGCAGCACATCACACACATATGCACATTTTAAGGGTTAATACCTTAAATAGAGTGTTACAAAATCCACAAACCACAATAAAAATGAGTGAGCATCAGAAATGTTTCCCTGTCAGAATACAACCTTCATCAAAATAACACACTGTTGGTCCATCGGATCCTGCAGTAGTTAAACCACACTTACAAAATACTTTCGTGCCCATAAGGTATAATGACATGTATTTTGTTACTGTCACTACAAATTACAGAGGACCTGCTGTACTTACTAAATCACGGTGAATAAATCTATTTCTTTCTAGATACTCCATCCCTTCGCAGACATCCTGGCACATGCTTAGTAGCATTTCTTTGTTAAGCCTCCCCTGTCTTTGCCGAAGGTAATTGAGCAGGCAGCTATTTTCCATGAACTCAGTCACTATGTAGAGAGGCTTGTTCTGTATGCACACTCCATAAAGCTGTACCAACTTTGGGTGGGATAATTTCCTGTTAACAAGGTGCATGTCAGTAACTAGACATTTGCCACTGACAAACAGTTAAAGAAGTTTTGATTATTAGGATGATTTTAGAAAGTATTTTGTGAAATGTTAATATGATATTTAAGTGTATGATATTCAACTGCAATGGACATAGGACCTGTTATGTCATCTACTACCATTTCTTAATTCAAATCCTTCCTTAAATCACCTGTCTGTATGAATTCTTTTAGTGATAGTCCACTGAGAAATTAAATATAATAGGCACTGTATCAAGATTGGACCTTTCAATTCCTTGTCTTCCCAAACTAGATTATGCCTGGCTTTGTGCAGTTGAATAGATAGAAAGGAGCAGCTATCAGTGTACTTTCCCTACTCAGCCTTCAATTAAAAATGGAAGTGACCTAACGATACGGTGTTGCACCCAGTGTACAATGTGTGTGTACTATGAAGTTAGTACCGTTTTAATTGTAAACTCATGGAGCATGGTCTGTGTTGTCTTCTGTGCATTGTACAGTGTCAAGCACAATCATAATACCCATCAAATAAACCTTATGAAAACATCTTTGACTATATTTGTTTCTTATTACATCTCAGTTTGACCCTTTTCACCAGGCATGAAACAGCTATTGTACTTACATCATGACTTTGGCTTCCTCAATGAAATCATCTTCAGACATTGCACCTTCATTGATCGCCTTAATGGCAACTTTGACAAGTGCTCTCCATTTACCCAGATGAACTATTCCAAACTGGCCACGCCCAACTTCTTTCATGAAAGTCAGCTCAGATGGGTTTATCTTCCACTTCTCTGTGAAAGTGAGCTCAACATGTTATAATAGCATGGTACATGCCAGCTGCCCTAACCCCTATTTATGGTGCAGGAAAAATGCCCCATTCTCTGTAGCATATACACAGAACAGATAATCGTTTGTTAATTTCATCCATCGCCTGTTATTTGCTATGAAAATTTTCATCACCCCTATTATTTGAGATATGGGATAATCATCTAACACAGGAATGTTTGGGGCTTGAAGGTAGGACAGATATTTAATTATTCACTACATCTGAGAACATCTTGGGAGCACTTCAATATGCGTTGTCCATCACTCTCATCCACCTCCAGACAGTGATGTGATATTATTGATTAGCTGGCTCTATTGTGACATCCACAATGATTTTTGCCTTTCACAAGTAGTAGTTCTAGGAAATATATTAAATATATTAATTCCCAGCATACACTTTTGGAGGGACTCATTCTAGATGTGTATTCACCAGCCAGGTGAACTTCATTTACTATCATATATAAACCAAAATTATTTGTATTGCTCTTTTATGCACTGTTAAATGCCACTCTTATTTCTAATAGTTGCATGATTGGCAAGAAGAGTCTTGATCTCAATTGATGTTAACATTAATTGAGATATACATTCAAATAGGCTTCAATGGCCCTTAAAAGGCTATGGAGTCTTAGGTCTTTGTTCACAAAATGTGAGAAAATTTAGAAGCAATGTTAGTAAAGTGAATGAGACCATTCTTCTAAAATGATACATGCCCAGTCAGGTATTTCACTGAGTTTTGGATTCTGAATAAGAAATGGATAATTCCTATTGATGGACATGTGTTTTCATATATTAATTATTACAGGGATAATTTCTTAACATACCTCAGATACCAAGATGATAAGCATGGTATAAAAACCTAGGAAGATGTCTAAAACTCTACCAAAACAATACCTCAAACTTTACCATAACTAAATCCTGCCGTTGCTGGTAAACAACTTCCCATTGATCCAATTGGATGTCGGAGGCGAGTGATGAGACCTATGGGTGACAAAGTGATAATATTCTTTAGAACAATTATCCTGTTATCCTATGCATCCATCTTAGCTTCCTAAAACAAAACCTGTTTTGTTTTCCTCATTCTTACTCACTGAAGTTACTTTTTTCTATATTATTTATGACTTGTTCAGATGTAGCCCTGGTGAAAAGGAGTAACTGAGGGAAAAGCATACTCAGTCCTTGGATAGATAGGGTGAGAAAACTGGCATTTTGCAGCCTGCCAGATAAGTTAATAGGTAGGAGGACATATACATTACACAGTTTCCAAAGGCCCACAGGATTCAGCTTGTTTATTAGTAGTAGTAGTAATTATTTATTATTTGTATTACTGTAGCACTTTAGAGCTCTAGTGATGAATCAGGACCGCATTGTGCTAAGAGTTCTTCAAACGCAGAACAAAAAGATCATCCCTGCTCCCAGGAACTTACACTCTAAATAAAAGACAAAAGGCAACAGATGGATATAGACTCAACCCCAGTTTTTGCACCGTACAAAACTACTGATCTGGCACAAGGGATGGCTAAGAAATTGAACTTTTCTCTTCAACATTTTGCAAACCTGTCTCTTTTTAAAAAGACAGAAGTTGATTCCAGGAAGGGTTATTCCTGAGCTCTCAAAGTCGTATCTGCAATGAGCTTCCAATCATCATCAGGATTAAATCCGTATTTGGTTAGCTGCTGTTACCTGCTGCATTATGCTGGTGATACTGGATGAGTTCAGGAATGGATGGAAAGAGGTGCTTTTCTGCTACATAATACTGTTCTGAATGGTTTTGCTTAATTTGATAATGTCGGATATTTCCACTGTGGCTTCTGAAATCAACAAAACATCAGTTACTTGAAAATAACCATATTTTGATAATATAAAGCGGCCTGATTTAAATAATATTTTGGACAAGAATTACTATTACACAATAAGATCTATGGGGAGGAAATACAATTTTCCTGTTTAAAATTGCTTGGTAGAATTATGATTGGGATAATGTTTCAGGTGGAAAAAACAGAGCTTATCTGAATACTTCTCTGACCTCTGGGGATGAGATCTATGGGCTCAGAGTTAAAGAAATCTATAAAATAAAGAAATAGGAATAGCCAGGGATGCGAGCCAAAAGCTCCTCTGCTCCCTTTCCTCCCTACAGCAGACATCCCTTTTGTAACCATTCTGCAGTCATTTACTAAAAACAGTGGTGGGCAACCTGTGGCCCATGGGCCACACGTGGCCCGTCAAGGTAATCCACTGGTGGGCCACCAGACAGTTTGTTTACATTTGCACAGCTGCTTGTAGCTCCCAGTGGCTGCGGTTCGCTGTTCCTGGCCAATGGGAACTGCGAGAAGCAGCTCGGGCTGCAGGGACCTGCTGGCCGCCATGTCCCGCAGCTCCCATTGGCCGGGAACGGCGAACCGTGGCCATTAGGAGTTGCGAACGGCCATGCAAATGTAAACAAGCTGACTGGCAGCTGGCCAGCAGATTACCCCGATGGGCCACAGGTTGCCCACCACTAACTAAAACATTTTGACATCCCAGATGTCTCTGATGGCCAAATCGTGGTAACTTGTAGACCAGAGTGATTTTTACTATTGACTCCAACAGGATTAGAATTTGGAACCTATATGAAAAATCAGCTACTATTCTATCTTATTTTAGTCTCTCAATCAATATATATCCTCTGAGATTGTACCTCTTCTTGCATTATGGGAGTAATAGATATAGGGAACACTTTCATAAATTCAGGTGCCACTGCCCATACCTAGGCAAGAGTGCAAATAGATACAAATGCCCTATGTTTGCTGAAATCTTTATTCATTCTTTAATAAATTCCTTTCTGAACAACTCCTGCCCACCCCCCCCGTACCTCAACTCCTGTAATTTCTTCTTCTGTGTTTTTCCTAAACCCCAAATTTCAGGGGGTCCAAATGCCATGGCCACCCATACTATTCTGTCACTTCAGGAGAACATGTGATAGCATCAGCCCCATTCACTGTCACTGGATTCCTTGCATGATCCTTCCAGTTTCTCTGTGGCCTAAGCACTTCCCATAAAACCTGTATCTAGGATACCACTTCTTATCACTGTATCTATAGAAAGTACCTGAATGATACACTAGGTAAACTATGTAATGCTCTAGTTTCCTTGCATCTATCTAGGCTTTTCTAATGATACCTATCACCAGGTATATGAGCACCTCCCAAAGAGTTAAAAAACTAATCCATAAAAAATGGTCCAAGTCCCAAATTTCCTCTCTATTTCCCCAAAGGCAGTCAAGAGACTTTTTTCATTTGAGTTTTTATTCTTTCATTTCTTCTACCCACCCCTCTTTTTTCTTCACTGCTTTTTCTCCTGTTCCACCTCCTCTCGTCTGTACTGTTTTTGTTTTTTAAATTATTAATTTTACCAAATACAACCACTATACCAAAATTTCAGATTCATCATAATACACAAAGGAATTAAAGGGGTTTAGGACAAAAGTGGGGGCTGGGAAGTGTCATATCTATCTTCAGGGTTTACTTTAATCATAGACCCCTAAAAAGGCAGTCCAAATTGCTTTGAATTTTTTGGGCATTCCATTTCTGTGGAATGCCAGTCATTTATTAGCTGTATCATCCATATTACAGAGACAGACATCAATATTTGGTGGGGATCAACCTTTGCATTTTTCAAGGATTAATTTTTTAGGGACCAAAGCTGCACACTGGAACCATGCTGCCTTGTTACCAGGTAATCTCCAGGTATCAGGAATATATCTGAGAATGAAATCCATTTTAGCATCCAATATCAAACTGATCTTTGACCCACCTCATACCAGAAATTCTTAATACAGGGACACTCCTAAAACATATGAGCTAATGTAGCACCAAAGGACTGCCAACAGCAGTCAACATTTATGAGGTCTATTACTATTAGCTTATGTGGGGAAAAAGTGTCTTTTGGTGAATAAGCTGTAGTGTCATGTCTATAGTTGCTTTTTAAATATTAGATACAATTGTATTCCATTGGGTCAGAGATCGTTGTATATCGTCATATATTTATTCCAAGCAGCTCTCAAATTATCATTCTTTAGCACAGTTTTTGGGGCCAGAAAATTGTAACAGGATACCGCTGGCCAAGTATATCCAGAATGTTTCCTCCAAAATAATAAACGTTCTGGAGGTTCTGTAACTTCCAGTGCATCCAGTCCAAATAAATTTATAAGTCAATGCTTTAGCTGGAGATATTTCCATGCTATGTACCAGGGCGAGCCAAATTGTTGCTGAAGAGCTACAAAGTGTTTAAATTTATCATCAATTAGATTCAATACAGTCATAATTCCGCTGTCCATCCAATCCATCCACACTGATTTGCCACCAATTTTAAGGGTAGTATTGCTCCAGTAGGACTGGTCTCTACTGATTTTAGTTGTGGTTGTGAGAGAGCCAAGTTGGACAAATGAGGTTTACACTTTGTTTTAGAAATGGTGAAGCTAATGAGGATTCTGAACTTTGGCAATACACTCCAAGTGTTAGTATAGGTCTAGTTATAGGGAGGGAGAGGAGGCATCTCCCCAACCCCAACTTTCAGATAGAATGGGGTGACTAATAACTAGGGTTGCCAGGTGTCCGGTTTTCAACTGCAACACCTGGTTGAAAAGGGACCCTGGTGACTCCGGTCAGCACCGCTGACCGGGCCATTAAAAGTCCGGTCGGCTGCGCAGCATGGCTAGGCAGGCTCCCTGTCTGCCATGACTCTGTGAGCCTCCCAGAAGCAGTGGCATGTCCCCCCTCCAGCTCCTACGCATAGGGGCAACCAGGGGGCTCCACATGCTGCCCCCACCCCAAGCACCAGCTCTGCAGCTCCCATTGGCTGGGAACCACAGCCAATGGGATCTGTGGGGGTGGCGCCTATGAATGGGGCAGAGCATAGAGATCTCTGGCTGCACCTCCACACAGGAGCCAGAGCGGGGACATGCCACTGCTTCCGGGAGCTGCTTGAGGTAAGCACTGCCTGGAACCTGCACCCCTGATCCCCTCCCATGCCCCAACCCCCTGTCCTAGCCCTGATTCCCCTCCCACCCTCTGAACTCCTCAGTCCCGAGTACTCTCCTGTACCCCAGACCTCTCTTCCCCAGCCCCACCCCAGAGCCCACACCCCCAGCCAGAGCCCTCACCCCCTCACGCCCCAGCCCTGATCCCCCTTCTACCCTCTGAACCCCTCGGTCTGAGCCCAGAGGATCCTCCTGCCCCCAAACCTCTCATCCCCAGCCCCACCCCAGAGCCTGCATAGACCCCTCACCTCCCCCCACCTGGGCCCCAACCCCTGCCCCAGTCCTGATGCCTCTTCTGGCCCCCAAGCCCCTTGGTCCCAGCACGGAGCACCCTCCAGCACCCCAAAACGCTCATCCTTAGCCCCACCCCAGAGCTCGCACTCCCAGCCGGAGCTGTCACCCCCCAGTGCCCCAACCCCCTGTCCCAGCCCAGAACCCCCTCCTGCATTCCAAACCCCTCAGCCCAAGCCCTGAGCCCCCTCCTGCACCCCAAATCCCTCATCCCCAGCCCCACACCAGAGCCTGAACCCCCAGCTGGAGCCCTCACCCCCTCCTGCATCCCAACCCCCTGAGCTAGCCCAGTGAAAATGAGTGAGAGAGTGAGGGTGGGAAGAGCAAGCAACGGGGGGGGAGGGGATGGAGTGAGCAGGAGGTGGGGCCTCGGAGAAGAAGTGGGGCGGGATAGGGCGAGGGTGTTCCATTTTGTCCAAATAGAAAGTTGGCAACACTACCAATAACAACAACAAATTCTGGTTGGCTGTGAAGAGGAAAGAGGGGTGGCAGCTGAGGAAGTAGAGAAGAAAGTTTGAGGCTGCTTTGTCAGCAGCCATCCTCACTCCTCCAGGGCTGTCTAAAGCAGCGGTTCTCAAACTTCATTCCATCGCGACCCCCTTCTGACAACAAAAATTACTACATGACCCCAGGAGGGGGCACCGAAGCCTGAGCCCTGCTATTCCGGGAGATGGGGTGGAGCCAAAGCTCGAGCCCCACCACCCGGGGTGGGGGGTCCGAAGCTGAAGCCCAAAGGCTTCAGCCCCAAGAAAGGGGCCTGTTACCTGAGCCCCGCCACCCAGGGCTGAAGCCGAAGTCTGAGCCCCATTGCCCAGGGCCGAAGTCCTCAGGCTTTGGCTTTGGCCCTGGGTGGTGGGGCTTGGGCTTTGGCCCTAGGTCCCAGCAAGTCTAGCACCAGCCCTGGCAACCCCATTAAAAAGGGTGGTGACCCCATTAAAATGAGGTTGCGACCCACTCTGAGGTCCCTACCCACAGTTTGAGAACCCCTGGTCTATAGGGTTGCCACCTGTCTCAGTTTTCCTGGAATCATCCCTTTTTTAGGTAGCTGTCCCAGGAAATCTGTAAGCCTTCCCAGGACATTAAAAGTCCTGGTTTTTATTAGTCACACACCCTCTGATTCCCCAGTCCCTAGTGGCTGTAGTGGGGGGAGCTGGGGTACAGCGATGCCTGTGTAGAAGGAGCTATCACTCCAGAGTGTCTGGGAGCTCCAGGAATCAGTGGCTCGGAATCATCAAGTGGGACAGGGGGAGTTTGGAGCTGGCAGTGCCCAGTCACCACCATGCAAGTAACTGCTGTGGGGTTTGCCACAGGGCAAGAGCAGGGTAGATCCAGTCTCTTTCACGAGATTGGTGCCCCCAGGAACAGGAGCTCCACAGGGGCTGGTGCCCTCTCCCATGGTGGGATGGGAAGGCAGTGCCCAGGATTATATGTGATGAGGTATAGGGGGCAGGTGAATGTGCCATTGTTTTGAACCTCAGAGAACTGCAATTACATCCTCCTGGCAGCAGGGGAGCCCTATGTCCTCCCTGCTGCTATTGCTATGGCTACTGTGCACAGCCACTTTCTCTCCTTCCTTGCCTGGGCCCTGCGCTTGCTGGCTCTGAGGGTTTGCCCAGCTGGCAGGGGCTTGAGGGAGCAGCAGGACTGGAGCAGCAGCGTCTGTCTCCCCTTCCTCCCCACAGGGTGGCAGGGACAAGCAAGGGGACACCTCTGTGGGGAACAGGCACAAATTGGAGTCACAGCTATAGATGGGGCAGACACAAAGGGGAGGGCAGGGTTATGGAGGAAACAGGCCCTAGGGAGCAGCTATGAGGGGAATCTATCTAAAGAGACAAGATGGCATGGTTGAGGGGATGGGTAAGAGAGGCAGCGTGGGGAGGGGGTGAAGGAGAGATTTGGGGTGAGGGAGGGAATGAGGCAAGTTTGGGGAAAGGAGAGATTGGGAGGTTCTTGGAGAGGAGAGGCTTGTGAGAGAGGGAGGAGGCTATGGAGGTGTTTGTGGGTAGCCGGAGAGGCTGGGTGGGGGGTTCCCGTGAAGGGGAAGGAGGAGTGGTTGGAGATGTAGCAGGAGGTCAGTGCGCTGGCTACAGCATTGCATGGGAGCCAGCCAGTCAAGGACTGCACCATAGGACGAGAGGCAAGAGGATACTACAGTAAGTCTTGTTTGCTTATTATTTTAATTGGATGGATGAAAGGGACTTATGCTGGAACCTTTTGGGTTTCAGGAAAATGCAGGTGATCTTGTCGTGCTGCATGGGAACGTTTGCATCTGCCGTCCCCACCCCACAACTTTTGGGGCAAAATTACTCCATTGAGCATTAGTATTGGTATGTACCTTTTAATTAACTGGAAGGATTGTAATTTGCAACAAGGTTTTCAGTATTCCCTATACACAATATGGACAATGCTGTACAATATTGTACTGTACATGTATATTGTGCAGCAAGCAAGCCACTTTCACAAAGAATTGTAATTAAGATATGTTTTCATCTGTTTATTTAAATTCTTAACCATTCAGAGTAGCAATTACTTACCCACTAGATCGTGAATACACAGACATTGTGAGGGCTCCCTTTTGACTTGAATCTCTGACCATAAATGCCCCTTCTTTGGACTGAAAAGCAATTCAGATTTAGTTTATCCTTTCTTTTGTGTTTGACAGAAAATTCACATGTGATAAGACATTCAGCTGATTACAAAATACTGTTCAATGTTTTATAAAGGAACCAAAGAAAGCTAAAGGTCAGGAGGTCAGAGCAGATGATGTGGTGGTTCCTTGTGGCCTTTAACTGTCTGACTAAAAGAACAGTAACTTCTAAAAGGAGGTAATGTACTTAACACTTGTAGTGTATTGTACAATGCAGGTGATATCTCTTTTTTACAGCAGGAAGCTAAGTACTTTTCTGAGAACATCTTAGAGTAAATATGAATATATAAATGCTGAGTCATTCACCTGTGTGTGGATCACTGTTGGGTAATTCCAAGGATATTACTTAATGCAAGAGAAGCATTGATGCCTTTTGACTGTTGGATACTGATGTTCAAACTGTTCAAGCTTTACTAGCATGGTTTATGATATTAGAACACAAGACTTATATAGTAACATAATACTCTAATGATCTCTACCTAACCTCCTAATGTCTACAGCCATAGAGCTATTTACTATTTCTAGTTATTGGGGTCTTTTTCCTATATGGAGCTATTTCATTGCTTTATATCATTGAACTAAGTACACAAGCCTGGTGATATTATATGTTATGTTTGTAACACTGTGTTTGGAGACTACTTGTGCTGTACTGTACATTTTCTTATACACTCAGTACACCAGATGAATGGCACAACACCATGGATATAATTCACTGTTATTCATTAAAATACAGGTGACTATCAGTGGTAAGTTGAAGATAACTCATATTTAACATCTTAAATATATTGAACATTTACATTTAACCCAGTCCACTGTTTCTGTGAATGTTTATACTTCATTATGCTCTAATGCGATACAGACCCTTGAAACAATTAAAGAATAAAGAGCTAAAACTTCATGGCTATTTGGCATCTGTGGAAGGCCCAAAATATAGTGGAACCACTGTGGTGCTTCGTGCTTCTGTTCAGGGGACCAGGAGGAGAAAGGCCATAAACCCTGGCAGATCATCTTCATATTAATGTGGAAGGGGAATTGTGAGTGGGACATCTGCATGATAGACCTCTGGCTAGCTGGATTGTGACTGTGTAAATCCTGTAGTCACAACCCTGTGTAGCAGGTTGCAGTAAGCTTTAGCTGTACAGTGTAGTTTAAGTGCTGTAGTCATAGCCATGCCATTGGCTGGAGGAGCAGAGTTAAATATCTGACTTGGTTAACCCAAAACTAAAGATAGGACATACAAATCTATAAATATTTGAAGGGTGATAATGCCATGGTGACTAGGAATCATTTAGAGTGATTCATGGGATTATAACTAATAGTAATGGAATGAAATTGAGAAATGGAAATGGAAAAATTAGACTGAATATCAGAAGAGTTCTCAGAGTTAAATATATTTGAATACTCTCCCATGGGAAGTGCTGGAAGCTCCATGTTTGGAGCACTGAAAAATAGACCACACAAATCACTAGAAAATATACTGTAAAGCAGGGTGGTAGACTGGATTATATAAGAGCTGTTATTTTTCCTCTTTAACACCTATAATTCTGTATATTTCTGTGCACTCCTTCTGGCTGAGCTGTATTTTATCCAATCCCTGTGTTGGCCCCTGAGCAAAACTCTGTTATTCTCTCTAAAATAGTAACAATTTGAAGTCATAGATACAGTTGTATTTTATATTGACATGCACTTTTCTTCCCAAGGGTTCCACATTGCTTCACACAAAATATATAAAATAGCACCAATAAAACACAATTGCCTATGGGCAGGACTAAGTGGGCCACAACATGCTGCATGACAATAAGAGGAGTAGAAATTTTAGTTAAGGATACTGGGGCAAACCTCTATGTTAACTAAGAGACTGTGAGATTTTTAATGTTCATACAGAGCAGACAGATTTCAGTTTTTAAAGTCTCACTCAAAAGACACGCACAGTAAACTGCATAGAACTCAGTTTATCTAATATGGAAGTTAGAGACCTAAACAGAACAAGTTCTACGGAGTCTAAGTATTCCATACCTGATGTTTAGACCACCAAGACATCCCTTCATTTTAAAGTACTCTATCTTATTGTACAGTTAGCTCTGGATTTAATTGCTGAACTCTTCATGATGTGTCTTGTAATACTGACAGAATAATTTAGATTGTGGGTAACTTTACAAACAATGAAAGTTTATAAACCAACTGAATTACCTCCTGCCTTAGTAGAAGTTCTGCCTGATTTCTGGTTATGTTTTTACAGTACCACCTACAATAAATGACCAAGAAAAGACAGCTAAATTATGTTCTGATTTCAAGCTGTTTTAATAAAAATACTTATTGACTCTATTGTAAAGAGCAACACTTCTTAACCATTATACTATTCCCAAACCAAAAACGTGGTTAATATAAAGCTATGGTTGTAAACAAACAGCTATTAATTTTAAACCACTTTATCAGACCATTTCAGCTATAATAATAACACAAACAAAAACAAGATATTTGTGAATGAGAAAATTCAGAGCTAAGGTTAATAAAACAATGGTGAAAAGTGAAAATGTTAAAGTCATAGTTTAAAAAATCAAAATGTCAGAAAGTCTGGAAATATTTAAAATTCCACTACCAGTTTTAACTTTGCCCCTTACTATCACTCAGCTCACCCTAACTAGTGAAAGAACCCCATTAGCTTCCTCATAAAATAAGTGTTTCCTGTTTCATAGTTATATTTTTAAAATGTGCCTATCCAGCATTCTGGGTCTCACTCGCTAATTTATTTTAAAAATTCCTACACAGTAACAATGTGAAGTGTGGTGGTTTCTTGCACATGCCATAAGAGTTGTTAGAGGGTCTAGTCTTCTGCCTTTGATAAATTGGCGGGTTTACAGTCCAATGTGTAGAATTTTTGCTCATATAGTGTCTCATAATTGAATATGTGATGGGATTGTGGTTGGGAAAAGAGGGCAACTTTACTGGTGTCAAGTCTAGCCTGATGATTTTCAATATTTTTTCCCATTTGTTGTATTTAAAGTTGAGACTAAGTAAAATCCTGGATATAAACACCCAGAAGTTTGGGAAATTTTGCATTTACACTTGGTGTCTCAGGCCCATCTCTGGCTAGAATATTTGAGAATTTTACTCTTCCTCACCAGTCAATGAACCTTAAATATGTTGAAGTGAGTACTGGCTATTCATTGAAATGTACAAAACAGGAAAAGATCAGAGTATAATAGTATCTGGCTGTGAGTGCTAGCAAATAGGAAACATCCAGACTGTGACATCTTGACTTACGCAAACAGATGCAGTTATACTATTTATTGTTTATGAGCTACCAGTGTTTATGACATTCTAGTCTCATAGCAAACAGCCATTGATTTGAATAGAGAAGAATCATGAAAACTGGAAGACAAATGGTGAATTCATTTTTAGGATGATGATTTATAAGAAAAAATAAGGGACTTAGTCCTGCAGTCGTTACTCAGGCAAACTCCTGTTGACTTCCAGTAAGGACTGAAAGATCAGGACCTAAAAATGTACAGTCCTAACCAATTCTCAGGGAGGAGACACAATAATCATTTTCAAGTGTACTTACTCATATGCTTCTAAATTATTTCGCTCGTTCTCAGTTACATAATTGCTGGGAATTAGGCCTTCATTACTAAAATAAATACAAATGAAAGATATAACACAATGTAAAGTATTACTGGGATTAAAATGTGAATATTCCTTTCACTTAAGAAGAGGGCAACTAACACTTTGGCCACATATTAAGTATGAGTTATGTTTCTGTGAATTCAGACAGTCATTGAAGGAAGACCCCAAGATTCTTCTTATCAACCTGGTGATTTTTCAAAGGGCAGATGATGGGCAAATACTGACTGTATGAATTGTTCAGTATGGGACTGTTCTCTGGAAAACCAGAAAATGGGTGAATTTGTGTTGCCAGCTCTGCATAAGACCCACCAGGTGGGACTGAAGCCTAGATTCTACCTTTGAACGCATACGCATGGCCAGTGCACACATTAGAAAGTAGATTGAGTTGTATTATATATATATATATATATAAAACCTACATTTTACATAATTGCCAATTATTTTAAATCCCACCTTCAAAAAGAACCAGTGCGTTCAAGGTTATTATGTATTTCAGCAAGCTTGTCACTGTACAGTTCCTAATTTGGACATACACTGCGGTTCAGATGCACAGTACACCAGATAACTGTCTAATCTCTGAACAAGGCAAATTCTTTTATATGTATCTGGTGGAGTATCACTGAGCCTCTAGGAAGAAGTGTGTTTAGAGGTGGGATTTGAATTAGGAGGGGATGGTTATTTGGCACATAAAAAAAAAGCAGCTATTCCAAACATAAGGGGAGGAGGTGTGGATTAAGACATTAAGCTGAGAGAAGGGGGACACAATGAAAGCATTACTGTAGGAAGAGGACCATAAGTGAAGTTCAGATCCAGACTTTTTTTAAAGTTCAGGGGTATTTGGATCTAGGATTTTGGTTCAGGCAGACCTAACTCCAAAAACAATATTTTACTGAATTACATACCCTTTCTACAATTCTGCTCTCAGCCACAATGGTGCAACCCTAGTAACTTCAATATATCACTGTATGAAACTAGATGGGAAGATAGGCACAAGTGTGACTGAGAGCAGAAATTTGCTTAATTGTCGTTCATCTCTCTAGCTCAGAGGTGGGCAAACTACGGCTCACAGGACTGTCCTGCCTGGCCCCTGAACTCCTGGCCCGGGAGGCTGTCCCTCCTCCCCTGCAGCCACGCCGCTGTGCGGTGCAATGCTCTGTGCTGCGTGGCGCGGCTGCCTCTCTTGGTGCAGCCGCACTGCCAGCCACCGATTCTCCAGGCAGTGCGGTAAGGGGGCAGGGAGTAGGGGTGGGGTTGGATAGAGGGCAGGAGAGTTCAGGGGGTGTCAGGGGCATGGATAGGGGTCAGTGTGGTCAGAGGGTGGGGAATGGGGGTTGAATGGGGGCAGGGGTCCCAGGGGGGCAGTCAGGAAGGAAAGGAGGGGTTGGATGGGGCAGCAGGGGGCAGTCAGGGGACAGGGAGCGGTCAGGGGACAGGGAGCGGGGGGGTGGGTGGGGCAGGTGTTCCACGGGGCTGGCAGTCAGGAAGGAGAGGGGGTTTGGATGGGGTGGCAGTTGAGGCAGGGGGTCCTGGGGCTGTCAGGAGACCGAGAGCAGGGGGGTGGGGCAGGGGTCCCCGGGGGGCCATCAGGGAACAGGGGGTTGGATGGGGCAGGAGTCCTGGGGGGGCTGTCAGGTGGCAAGAAGCAGGGGGGTCAGATAGGGGGCAGGGGCCGGCCATATCTGGCTGTTTGAGGAGGCACAGCCTCCCCTAACCAACCCTCCATATAATTTCAGAAAACCGATGCGGCCCTCAGGCCAAAAAGTTTGCCCACCCCTGATCTAGCTACCTATATGACTGTAGCTGCTATTTTATCTGAATGCCATTCCGTCACACTCACATAAACTTTCTTCTGATTCACTGTATTGTAAAATACTTTACAAATTAAGTATGAAGCACCAGATTTTCAAAAGAGCTCGGCACCCAACAGGTCCTAAATGAAGTTGCCAGGTTTCCAGAACTGCTCAGCAGCCAGCAACTCACTCTCTTCTCAAATTCCCAAATACTGTTCTTGTTTAGCCTGGTGTGTGTCTGTCTAGATTCTAGATTCCCATTATTCTCAATGGGAGATGCTGTGTGCTGAATGTTTTTCAAAATCTGGCTGCTTCATATAGATGCCTAACTGGGAGCTGAACACTTTAAAATCGGGCCCTAAAATATATTTATGCCTCTAATTTTTGTATTTTTGTTTTTTGGGGGTTTTTTTAGGAAGATAAATAGAAACAAATGGGTCCAAACATGCCTCCTCTCTTACCCGTACTGGTCTCTTGCCTTCCACCAGTGGGGGTCATACTTCTCAAGGATAATGTATTCTTCTGATTTCCTGAGTGTTAAGTCACAGGGTCCTTTGGCAAAAAAATCATAGAGTGCAATGACTCTGATTTTCTCTTCATACTCTCCAGGGATCTGTGGGGGTAACGCTGGTGGTGGCTTCCTTTTTGATTGCTGAACAAATTGCCTGTCATGCTGTTGAGAGAAAAAAGTATCATAATTGGTTTGCATTTCTTTCCCTGCTTATTATTAGTATTATTATTAGTAGTAGTATTTTATTTTATTTTTATGTTGTCTCTGTTCCTGAAAGAAACTGATAACGATTCCTTCCTCCCTACGCCTTATCATCCGGTCAGTTGCACTTGCAAGAAGGCAACAGAGTACTGTTGATTGCACTTGGATAACTGTTACTCAAGCCAAAGTTACACTGACAAATAAATAAATAATATGCATGTAGTGTGACTGTAGCCAAAGTAGAGCATTTCCCCCACCAAAGTGCTTGCAGTTACATTAATGCGGTATGAATTCTGGGACAGCTCCTCAGCTGATGTAAATCAGAATAGCTCCATTGAATTACACCAGCTGGGTTTGGAGAACACTGCATACATGCTTAACATATCAGCAGGAATACAAACATTTTGTTTTGCATGAACATAGGGCCTGGTTTTGCGCTCAGTTACACTGTTGTAAAGTTGGGAGGAACTCATTGAAGTCCGTAGAGTTAGGCCAAATGAAAGTAAGACCATACTCAGGTCTTTCGTGTCTGGAAAAAATACATAACAATGTAAATCTTCTAAATCTTTGCACTCTTATTAAAATACTCTTTACAATATTTATATGAAGTATGTATTACTGCAACTTTAAAGATTTGGCAGGGAGTTAGTTACACTAGTGCAGTGGTTCTCAAACTTTTTTTTCACGGACCACTTGAAGGTGATCTCAGTGGAGGGTCTCAGTGGACCACTTAATGATCTTTCCAAATGTTATTTGTACCGTTAGCTAACTATTGTAAAGCACTTTGGATAAAAGGATTATATAAAAAAACCCTTAATAATAATTAACTTTTTTTGTTCTACAAATAAAAGCACACAACTCATATTTTAATATCAGTAGTCTTACCTTTCTGTTGCAATGGATGTGCCTTCTCTCCCCAGCCCTGGCAGCCCCTGAGCTGGGGCTGGGAAGAAGGGGGGTCTCTCCCCCACCACAGCAGCCACACAGCTGAGGCTGGGAAGGAGGGCCGTCTCTTTCCGGCAGCCGGAACCCTGGAGCTGAGGAAAGTCGCCTCTTTCTCCGGCCGCCGCAGCCCTGCACGTCCCAAATTCCCCCCACCCCTTCTATTCACCCCACTGCCCCCTCCCACTTACCCCCATTTCCTCCAAGGCCACCACCTCACCTTACATGTGTGTCTTCTCCAGGGTCCAGGCACCTACTAATTTGGTGGGTGGCCCTTCATTTTCTTGTGTGCAGCCACCCAGGCATGCACCTTAGAAGGAACTATCCATGGACCACCTAAATGGAGTTCATGGACCACTATCCACGGACCACAGTTTGAGAACCTCTGCACTGGTGCCTGCTCTGGCATATATTCAGTGTCTGGACTTGGATACGTCATTTAATCTCTTTGTCCTTCAGTTTTCTGAATCTGTATGATTTTACTTACTCTGTGCTTTTGGGTAGACACATAGGAGAGCTGTTGTGACATTGCGTATCCAGCCATCAAGCCTTCATCATTGTCCAGGCTCAACTTTGTCCTCACTGCTCTAATTTTGGAGAATAAAAACAGTGCTTATGAGAATATATATCACCAAACAGATTAGCTGTGGGAGAGGGAAAAGGTCTGTAAATGTTTAAAATTTCAGCAGATTTACTGAAAACTGAGGGGTTTTAGAAGCTTTTATATGTGACTAGTTTGAAAGCAAATGACTTATTCTGATTAGCTTAATTACTGGCAAGTTGAAGCTAAACTTTGAGTTACCTTTTCTGCACCGAACAGCAGCAGCAGCAGCAAAAAGCAGACTGGATGGTGTGATCTGAAAAGAAGAACATTTCTGTATTTTTAGTACTGTTTTTGGTTTACTGCACTGAAGTGTGTAATAGGTTCTCTGCTGTGGACTTGCTGTGAGACTCTGGGCTAGTCACTTTGGACCAGATTGTGGAACATTTACTCATGGGAATAGTCCAATTGAAACCAGTGGAACTACTTGAGTGCTCGCCAGCGTAAGGAAGGACTCCACAATCGAACCCCTAATCTCTCTGTGCCTCAGTTTCCTCATCTGTTAAAATTGAAGTTATCAGTGCTTTCCCACTTCTGTAAAGCACTTTGAGATCTACAGATGAAAAACACTATACAGGTGCTAAGTATTATTCCTATTTACAGATGGATAAATTATTAACCACAGTGAGCAGTACAATAATAAAATACTGATTAGGATATTTTTTTCTTAATGAATACATAGCACCAGAAGAGCCTCTGATGTTACAAATGTCCTCTTGTGAGGTGTGAAAAATCTGAAGAACCAACCTGGCATCCCTACACATTTTTTATGTTGAGCTCCCTATTCATGTTTTGCCATGTTTTGCTTGTAGTGTAGTCACCGTTCTTGGCTAAGATTTAAGAGAAACCCTGTGTGATGATACTCGATTGTTTTAATCAGTGTGGAAGCTAGATATCCAAGCAGTGCTACAGGTTCCTTCTGTATGCAGCAGCAACCTTTATATCCTTCACAAGTGAGTCCTGTCTCTTCTTTTCCACAGTGGACACTACATTCTTGTCATTAGAAGATGCTCTAAAGACACATATTAGGTAGTGTCCCTCCCTTAGGACTGAGTATTTTTCCAAGTTTATCTTTCATGCGTGTTCTTTTCAAAGTCACACTAATGTGTTCAGTTTTTTTATTCCCTCTTCACCATTTTTGGTTTGTTTATACCCCCTATCTGGGATGATGACCCAGTTTCATTTAATTTACATGTGAGGGATTTGGATGAAATATTTCGGTGTAAGTAATAAGAACATCCATTCTCTATGTAGTCTAAGTCTAGATAAGAGAGGAAGTATAGTATAATGGTTAGCACATAGGCCTCTGAGTTAGAGCTCTTAAGTGTTAGTCCTAGCTCTACCATGTTTTCACTGTGTGAGCATGGGCAAGTTACTTATAAGTTAACCTCTCTCTGCTTCATTTTTTCCATCTCTAAAATGGAAATAGGACATTGTAAGAATTAAGTAATGTTTGTAAAAGAGCTTTGGCATCTTTTGCTGTATAATCTCAGTGCAAATCATTATTATAAGTCTTTCAGGTATAGAAGCCTTACAAAACAAGAGCTCAAATCTGATCTCAAGAGTTAGTCATGCATTCCTATTTATCTTGTATCACAGTTGCTGTGTTTATGCAATTCCTCATATGCTGCTTGCAAATGAACAAGTGGAGAGAAGACACCTAATGGGGTCAGCTGCAGCAAGACAACTGACCTTTACTCTGACCTAATTTCTGGATGGATGACACCTGGGGTGGGAAAGGGGCTTTAGCTGGGTTTCTTGGTTGGAGGTTGCATGACCTTTAGGCAGCTGAAAGAGAAGGAAAAGTTAGGTAGCTGAGATATGGCTGGGATGTTCCCATAACCACGAGGTTGTGGGTGGGTTAGGCAGCTGTTTTGGAACTGGAGGGAGCTGCTTGAGTTGGAGTCATTTTAAAGATGAGTATATGTTAGCATAGCACCGCAACAAAGTTTACTAAGAATCTGTGTAGCATAGCATTCAAAAGGTTAAGTGGCCTTATTACACCTGGTGAAACTTGAATTATTTGACCAATAAAGAAAGATACAGTATTTAACAAATCTCACACTATAAAAAGGGAAAGAGAAGGGCAAACTTCAGGGAGATAAGATCAAAATTAGTTCTTAGTCAGAAGAGGAAGAAACCTGTGGCTTATGCTTGTTTTGCTTTGAAAAGTTACCAGTGAAGCTTGTGGGGGCAAATTGCCATCGACCATGACATCCTGTGAAGAGCCTATGGTGTGGGACTTTGACAAGCCCATTTTAAATCACAAGATATCATAAACCGCTTGATAAAAGTTTCCAGTGACGGCTATGGAAAATATGAGGATTGGAAATGCCCAAGCCAGCTGACATTAACAATTTTTTTAAAGAAGCCAGACTAAAAAAGGTATGTGCAGTGTGATCAGTTTGCTGCATTACTTTCCATTGTACATGAAGCTATCACCTTGCCATATAAAATTGTTACTGTTTAGCTTTGCCAGAATGTGCTTTCTCCTACTGGTGCTTGCTGTAATTTCTAGTCCATTTACTGTATTTTCCAGACAAGGAGCTATAAACAAGAAAAAAGAAAAGTGTTTTCAACTTTCAGTATCTTAATATCACTGGTCTATGTTTACCTGCAAAAGAAGAAATTCAGAGGGAAAGTCTGAAATAGAACTGAATTGATTACTGGAATGGCATTAGATGGCAGTGTGAAATTGCAGGTGCTGACTTTTGAATGAGGTGAACTGACATTTGGCCATTAGCGATCTCATGGCCTCTTTCATTAGAGGAAGGATGTTTAAATTCCAACTCGGGGTAATTACATACTACTTACCAAAACTCCCCGAGGTGTTTCAGCTGGGAGCAGTGTTTGCCCCTGACTTAGATAGTGTATTGCAACCATGCACTGTTAAAGAGCTTCTGCGTTCCACTACAAAGGTGTCTACATTTCAGTGATGGGTCACATAATCCCTGTATATCTTGCCTTAGTGCTGTGAGCCTCAATGAACATTTGTTAAGTACTTACCAGAGATATTTAGATCAGGTGCTGTAGAACTTCAAGTATTATTAAAACAACATTCTTAAGTACACTGAAAATCTGACTATAACCACAAATGCAAATAAATTCAGAGTTCAGGCTGGTTTGAATAAAGGTGGAATGTCAACCCAGGAATTTTCTGCCTTCACTGAATTTCAAACTCTTTCTGTAAAGTATAGGCACTTTCCACACTTGAATCTACTTTGCTAGGTTAAAAGAAACCAGCAGTAAATGAAATGTCTGTAATGCATTTTACATATATCCTAATCATATATTTACCAGCTAGTTTCTTATAGTGCCTAAGGAATCATAACAAACTTTGGGCTGAATCAGTAATTAGGGTGTTTCATGGTATGCAGTGTAGGTCCCTGTTCTGCACTCCTTACTTGAGCAACACTTTCACTGAGTTCAGTGTTTTGACTGTAAAAGAGTGCAGAATATGACCCATAATCCAATAACTGTGACCTAGAAGATTACCATCTCTTGCAGAGAAATGAGTGTGAAAGACTCTGAGACGCAGGGTGTTTCTGTGAGGTTTGCTGCCCTTCTTTTTTCTTCCTACCCTACCATGTTCTCCTCTGGTTCTGTGGAGTTCACAGGGCGTGAGGGACATCCCCAGCTTTGTAGAGGCAGATCTGTTTGCATGCATAGTTCCTGATTTGGCTGTCTGTCTCTCCCTTGCAGCACAGCTTCTGAAGGAGTTATTTTGTCCTTGCATTGATTCCCGCTTTGGCTGCTCAGTAGCAGCTGTAGAAAGACTCAATGGGAGTTAAAGCTCTGAAATGTATTATTGAAACACCATATTTCTGTGTGGAAATCTGACAAATCAGCAGGGGACAGCATCATGAAATAAGAAGTACTGTGAGAGCTCTTCAGAGACTACTGAGAGTTGCAGGTTTTAGGATTTGATTCCATGGGGCCTATTCAGGTGGTCTGTAGGCTGTCACATCTTGCGAAAGTTACTTGTGAGGCTGCTATTTATACAATACATGTGACACTACTTTCTCATTCTGACGTCCTTGATTAGAGAATCACAGACCACTAAAGTAACAGAATAACTCATAGTGACCCTGCAGCCTCTATCAGGAAGAGAAGATGACCCATACCTGTACATCTAAAGTACCCACCACAAATGTCAAATTGCTTGGCTCTCCGTGTGAATAACTCAATTAGACTTGCTCACATCATAATCTTGTACTAGCAAGACAGGAAGTTATATACACACAGAGCTGACTCCAAGTATTGTAGCAATGATTATTAAAGTGGTACAGGAAGCCTGCACTTCCTGACAGAAGCTCATGCAGCATATTGCCTCACATAAACATCTCCACACTCTTTATTACTATTTTTTTTTAAATCCCTCCATTCGAAAGAAAGAAAATTAACTTCATTTGGATACAAAAAGCCAAATTCGGTTTTCTTTAATGTACATGAGATACTTGCGAGATAAAGAAGAATTGATCACAGAACTAAACATTTAATGGTAACTGTGATGCTTGCAGACCAGATGCCAGCCTATGTCAAGGCCTCTTGGCATGGGCGGCAGGTGAACCTGACTATAACCACAAATGCATACCGCTTTGGGGAGGCTAGCCTGCCAGCCCCACCCCTTCCACCCAAGGCCCCGCCCCCTCACGCCAGACCCCTGAAATCCCCCTTCTACTGCATAAAAGGAGAAGCCCTGACTGTGAGGGGCTCCCGCGACCAGAGGAGCCCTGGCCCGCCTGCCCAAGCCATAAATTGGGCTGAGCCGCTGCTGCCGGCCCTCCTGACCCCCCCCCCCCCCCCGAAAGCGCTAGGCCGAGCCATCTTCCCTCCTCCCCTGCCCCCACTGCCGGCCCCAGGTGCAGGCTGAGCCACCAGTCTCCCTGAGTGCCAGGCCAGCCATGGCGCAGGGCAGAGCTACCACCTCCCCCCCCCCCCCCAGCCCACAAGTGCCTGACAAGCCAAGTTGCCATCCCCTTGCTAGAGTCAGGCCAGGCTGAGCCACCATCCCCCTAGAGCCAGTTCCTCCTGCCCCTGAAGACCCTGCCCCCCATCGAGCTGCTGGCCCCAGTGCTCAGCAGAGCCTCACCAGTCTGCCGGCTGCTGGCTCTCTGTATCCCCTCACTCACACTGTTCCGAGGAGGAGGGGGGACATGGCAAGCAGCAGGGACCTGGGGGTGGGGGGGGCGTGTGGAGTGGAGGAGGCAGTAAGGGTCTCGGGGAAGGGCTGGGGCCAGGTGTCTGCCTTCCCTGATGATGACACCAACCT